CGGTCCTTCTGAAGATGCATTGATTTTGGCAAGAAACGTAAGTGCGGCGATTTTGAACCGTTTGTACGTCCTTGTCAATGATTTAATCGTGGCGTAGGCCGGCTTCGACGTCTTCAATTGTTTAGATCTGATGCAAAACGGCAGTTTCCTCGAAGAACTCAAGTTTGGGCGGGGAGACGGTAACCTACATTACTATTTGTACAACTACCGGTGCCAGCCTTTGAAACCAGAGGAATGGGCTTGGTTCTGTTGTAATTTCCACCCTTGTACTAGAGGCCTGCCCAGATATAGGATTTGGAAAATAGTGTATTTAGTGAACTAATGACTGAGCTGCCCTACCCAGCCAACATTTACGACGCCTTCCAATACATACTCCCGATTTAATTAGCTTTATTTGCATACTATTTACAAAGTAGAAGGCTCTGAGCGCATTTTTTCCATCATCGAGCTGATTGTATCTTCCGCACGCCACTCATGGTCACAATATCATTTATATTTGTTTCGAGGACCTAACAACCGAAGCGGTAAGCGTTCTGAGGACGCAAGATACATATGCCGTGGGAATGAATTGCAATCCATACCATTCCTCCTGATATCACCTCCGACAACAATTGTGATACCTGGGAAGATAAAGGTGAGTGAGGAGGTATTCTGGTCATGTATGAGTACGTACCTCATCCGGTCGGAAAATTAAATCTAGCTCGCAAACGTTGGTGAATATCCTGTCTAACGCCTCCACGAAAACCTGAACAGAGGAGTCAGGACCATATTGCGAACCGAGAGAGGGAGTAACTGACCTGTATCAGATCCAGGATCCCTATAAACGAACATACATACGGATTAGACACGAGTAGTCAGCATCCGAATCGCCAAGCCTATCTCACCCAATTCACTTTCTGAGGAATCAACAACAAAAACAAAGTACAGTGCTATGCCCCATCACAATCATATCAGCAGCTTGAACGACAAAGCTTCTTTATGCCAAACTTACTTGCGTAATGCTAGAAGATTCTCAGTAAGTTAAATCATCTACCATGTATCGAAAAGATGGGAGCATATGTACCCTATATATTATTTTGGTGTCCTGTCCGCCTAGTAATGTACTCCCCTCCAGGAAGTTGCAAACGTGATCTGGCCTTGAGGGTGGCAACAGATGGAATACATGAGTATGACTATAGATTCATATACATAGACTTCCTTATACCTTTTATGCACAAGTCGAAATATTTCCTTCAACATTTCCTGCTGTGTGCTTACGTCCTTTTGTATCAAAAGCAATCAGTTACGTGCCATTGGCGATCCTGTCGAGTTTGTCAGGTCCCACCATTTGCTGATACCACTGCATGAGCCGTGGTTTTCCGTGGTTATTGAATATCATGACCGCCTTGAGCATCGTTACTGTCTTTTACTCGGCTACTTTGTACGAATGTGATGCGATGGATTCTCGGCGGTTGTTGACTATTGCAGGCGGGGATTGAAACTCGCTCGAATGAGTCATTGGCTCACTGACGTGATGGAGAGCTTTTACTGCAGATGGAGACTCGTTTATTGCAACGTTATATCGTAGATTTGTGTTTTTTTGAGCCTTTCATTGGCTTTTGTCAACCATCACAGTATGTAGTTATAAGCGACAGACGAATGATGTTTTGATTTGTGCTTTGTCCATCAATGCCAAGCACATCAACGGATGATCCAAAAGCATCAGCGTCATTGGCGACTTGTCCGTCTTTCCTCCTCTTTCCTACTCTTGGGACCTGAATGTGTCCAGCGGACCCCGTGGTAATAAGACGCAGTCTTGTTCTTCAAAAGGGCGGATGCAATTCTCATAATGATGACCAAAAAGAAAAGAATAGATCCATGAACGTTTGGAGAATCACACCCTACTAATCGGCAGCTGGATCTGCAAAACAACACCGTCTCCTAGACGTTGGGACAAGGCATTTCCCATATCGACAGCGATTCCGGGGAGGTGATGCGCAAATAGGATATACACATTGCAAATGGAAACTATATACAGTGATCGATCTTTCGCAGGCAACCAGAGATTGCCTCCCAATTAGCCAGTCTCAGTCCGTTACAGGATGCCGAACCATGGTGCGGAGATCGTCCTTTCCTATGCTCTTCAACTCAAACCCCTTCGTTCTGTCTATTTTGCCCTTTTCCTTCAACTCTAGATCTCGAGTTCTTTCCTTGATACTGTCTCGCAATCGGCTTATCTCTGCATCTATGTTTTGTTGATCTTTCTCAAGATTCTCCTTCGCACTTTCTTTGGGAAGCTTCATGAACAGGCCGCCGGCAAAGAAATACACTCGTTTATCTGTCGCATATTCGCTGTTTGGCACCAAGTTTGCAAGTGAAATGACGCAGCTACATACCATCCTTCATCTTTCCCTGCCTGAATGACGCCAAGGCCATCCTATTCTCGTTCCGTCTCCTGTCCAGATCTATGATGAGCTGCTTCTCTGTCAGAATTTCTTCGGCAATTCGCTCAAGTTCCGCCTGATCTGCTCCCAAAGTTGAAAAAGAGGAAATACTGTCAGTGATGCATCCACAGAGAGGCCTTATCTTTAAGCCTTACAGACTTTGCAAGTATTGCATGGTGTTGCAAGATTGAGACGCAAAACGGGTGGTTGGTGGTCAAGATCTCTACAGAATGGTGTTTGGACAAGGCGATCTCTTAGTAATTTATCGCGTCCCCATTTACGACTGGCAGCAACTGACCATTCCTTCTTTACACTCAACAACAACAATTCGCCATAATGCTGCGTTCTCCAAGGCCTCAACTAATAATACGGTCACTTCCTCGTCTAACCGTAATCCGATCATATGCCAGCCCACCACCATTCTCACAACCGGGACCAATCCCTCTCGGTGACAAGGAAGCGCAAAAGGAATTTGAAGAGCTCGTGAAAAAGGCAGAAGAGTTGGCAGCGAAAGAAGGACAAGAAGGTCTAAAGCACCCAGACGCTTTGGAAAAGTTGCAGGGGGAAGACTGGGAAGGGGAAAAGAACCCTGCCACCGGGGAGGTTGGTGGCCCAAAAGGAAAGGAGCCTACTCGGTATGGAGATTGGGAGAGGAAGGGAAGAGTGTACGACTTTTAGGAAGCAGTAGATATGTGCCTCCTCTAGAAATAGCACCTGTATCCATTATCTTTTTTTAATGTGCATAGTCAAGCATTCTGCGTGGCGTGGTCATAACCAACTCATTCTCTCAGCACATTGAGAATCACACTTTGGTCGCGATCCTGAGATCAACAGAGAAATGTCACTTGTACCGCTGGACTATGGTTCTTCCGATGACGACGATGAGACAAGCCAAGGACAGGCGAAGGCAGCTTCACCTGTACCATCGCAGTCTGCCAAAAACCCTCACACTTCGTCGACCGGTCTAGCCGCCGTACTCCCGTCACCCAAAAGCAATTCGACTTCCCGTTCCTCCCTTTTTGCATCACTCCCTCCCCCAACTCAGCAGTCGAATGCGACAAAGAATGTCGCATCCCAACCTTCAGAACGGAAGAAGGTGAAAATATTTGTCGATCTCCCAATGGATGATGATGTCCTGGAGAATATTGGCGCAGAGACAGATCAGACAAAGCCAAAGAAAGGGTCAAGTCTGTTTGCAATGCTGCCAGCACCGAAGAAGACAGGAGACACCAAATCGGAGAGAGTTGCAGAGTCTAGTGGAGTAACCAAACCTTCGGTGCCCAGCAAGGCAGCGCCCGCCATGGTGCCCTATTCATTATCAAAGAAGAAGGTTCCAACGAAAGGAGCTTCAGCGATCACAAGCGAGTCCACAGCAGCAGATAATATCGCAAAACCGATCCCCAAAAAAGAGGAGGAACCCGAAGTGGGTCCAGACTCTTTCTTCACACTGCGTACGTTTGCGTTGGATATCTTGTGCAACTTGTCTGGTATTCACTTGTCCCAATTGACAGCCGAACCTTCATTGGACAACTACGAAACAAGCGATGACGGTCCAGTACTACAGCAATCGTCCTCGCAACCAACGATATCAGCCTCTGCACAATATGCATGCGTGTCAGCATCTTCTCAGTATGCATATCCATCCCATTCCTCGACGGATTACTACACATACGACTCTAATGCAATGTATGCTTATCCCGGTGGTTATGGAAATGAATCAATAACGCCATCATCGTCAACGGGCGCTATGGGAGGATTGTCAGAAGCCGATGTGCGTTGTCTGCTTTGTCATTTCGTTTAGTGTGCATGAACAAAGAGCATTTACTTTTACTATTCCAGTTGAGAGCATTTGGGACGCGCGACCGGAAACTTGAAGAAACCATTGAAATTAAAGAAATTTCGCAGTCGCAGCTGATGGGTGACGCTCGGCAGCTGGAAGCAACGAGAAGTGCCTCTATGACGGGAGGTAATCTAAAGGTTAGAACTACAAGCAAATGTTGCTTTTTGGCCATACTCTAATGGTCTAATGCTCTGCCTCAGGGTCTCGCACCATCAAGAGGACAGAAGCGGAAGCACAACATCATGTCTCTTGCTTTTGAAGCGAAGCAGCGAGAGGAAGCATTGAAAGACATGGCGGCACATAGAATTGCAAGTAAACAGTCCACGAGAGCTAAATATGGTAGGTGACAATCATCTGATTTGAGCTCGGGTGCTGCATGAAGGGACTCATGTTGATATTCGAAACAGGATTTTGACATGGCATCTGTCACTCCAAACCTCTGTATATACAAGTAACGATTCGAGATTTGCCCATGCTGCTGAGAGTAACATTTGTGGCTCACTCCCAGAAGCGACAACAGAACACCTCACTTGGGTCCCCTAAACATTGGCAATGATAGTGGAAGCCATGGAGGACTTGATCTGCACAAAAATGCGAATTTCCAATGTTGTCTAACTATTTACATTCCTACACCCTGGCTTATCCATGAGAATGAGATCACAACGAAGGCATTGTAGTTGCTTGTTATAAATAAATCCTTCGCAAATCTGCGGGTGCTGTGATCTTTTGGCATTGTGGACATAACCGCTTTGTCGCCAGAGTTTGGAGCCAACACCTGTATTTTCAAGAGATATGAGATACACAAGTCACGCGCAGATACACCATTTCATCCGAAACTTACGTCTCACAATGTACATGCCAACAAATAACAGAAACCAGCGGAATCTTATATGCCTCAAGACATATAAGACATTTGTGAGAGGATTTCGTGGTTTGTGATTCCTGAGGTGCGTGGGCTTGTATCAGCTTAAGTTCTTATGACTTTGCGGACCACAAACGAGCGTACCAAATCCCGTACTCGTGCCTTTAATGACTCAATAATCAGCTTGGTGTCTCCGGAAAGTGTGTGCAAACTGTCATCCGCTGGTTCATTGCATTAGTGCACACTCGACAGAATAACGGCAAGATGCGTCAATACTCACATGTCTCTACCGCCCCATCGACATCCATATTATGTTCATTTGTATCCAATCTATTCCACATGTTGAATGTCAGTGGGCTCCATGCGCGTGTGACGCACAAAAGGACAAACTACGCACAAATTAAGTTCTTGCCCAATTCGAGTTCCTCCCCCGGTATCTCCATTTTCTCCGTCGCCATCGCCGCCTTCACGAAACGCGCGAATATGCTGTTCTGAATATTGCGACTCGCCAAATTCGCCCGTACCGTCGTCATCAATGTCAATCTCTTCGTCTGTGTCTTCGTCTGTCTTTTTGTGTACTGAAAAGCCACTAGCTTATGCTGGCGTGAGCTGACAACGTAAATGGAATAAAGCCTATAAAAGCAGACTCACCTGCCAAGCCGCCTTCAAGCATCGCGGTGGCTCGTACACGTGTCTGACCAGCCCATTCGTACTCTTCCCACACTTGCCCCCCGTTTGTGTCGTCAGAAGTAGTCGCTGGTCCGGCCATTTGCGCGGCGAGACACTGATCAATATGGCGATTGACCATTTCAGAATCCGTGGGCAATACATCACCACACATGAAGCATGTGTTTCCATCGCCCTCTGCATCTATAAACAGGACGTTTAACACTGGCTAGCCGAGAGTTTTTACAACTGACAATGCTTACAAGGATCATTCCCGCCTCTTGGTCGCTTCCGCGATCCTGCTAACGGACAGTTGAGTAAACCTGATACATGGAGACAACGAAGACGCTCGCGCCCGACCAGATCTTACGCACCTGCCTTGTTACTTTGAACTGTGCGTTTCAAGCGACTCGCTCGAACCTGATACAGTAGCTAAAAAAGCTCCGTGTGAGAACCAAGCATGAGACAAGAGTCGCATTTGTCCTGATCAATACCAGTTCGTTTTCATCCAACTGGCCAGCACCGGCCGAAGCGCTCCCTTTTCCCTTATTTGTAGATGCTATCTGTTGCGCCGCTGCGACAGCCGCTCCTCTCCGCATTCTAGATCTGATTTAAAAAACTATGAATTGACCTGCCGACTGCCATGCGTCAACAGACAAGCTAACCCACTTTGCAAAATCATCCACAGGCTCTGGTGACAGATTTCCTTTCAATCTCCCAAGCTCCCATTCATAATGCTGCTCAAAAGCAGCCTTCGTAATAGGTTGGGAGCATATTGGGCAACGTCTGGTAGAACCTGAAATGGCGTTGTTTAGGACTTGCCCATGGGACCTGCTAATTGTCTGGACCCCCACACTTCCATTGCTTTCCATGTGGCATCCTTCACTCTTCCATCTTCCATCTTCCATCATATCATACGAACCTTGGGTGTCGTTAAGCGGCCGACCTGCTCTTCCCGCACTTTTTCCCCGACTCCTGCAATATTCACAGATCAGTTCCACTGCTGCAAGCGTCACGGAAAACATCGCACGGATTTTCCTACTTTGAGCTCGCAGCATCAGTTGCTGAAGCAGTCTGTGGCATATCGGTTCATAAAGGGAACCTCGCTCGGGGAGAGCCCGGAAAATCTTGCAAATTGCGAACTAGTAGTTGGTCCGCCAGAGTCGTTTTGCTGACTTCAAAATATTCACGTGATTTCGAGTGTGATAATCATCGGTTAGGGTTAGGGTTAACAAATCAGTAGGATGAATGTTGAAGGCGCTGGGGAGATATGCCAGACTGTGTTCTATACATGTATGCAATTGGAGGTTTGCGGTCCTGCACAAAACTCCAGATAAATGACGAATCTACATTTCTATCGGCTAGCTGTTCATGTTCTCTATCTTCATTATGAGGCTCTTTGGGAGGGCGCACTTTTTCACCCGGCAATGATGTTGTGCTTCACCAGACCCTTCTTCACCTGGTCTTTTATGATGCTGTGCGTCTTTGTGGTGGGATGAACATCAAACATGATAAACTGACTCGGGTCTGCGCACATTATCCAAGTAGCCGGATTATTGAGATCGACTTGCTGCAAGCAAGGCTTGGTGATATCCGTCAAGGGCATATTATACCCAAAAGATTTACGGTTCAACGCAATGTATCCGAACTCGATAGCCATGTCTGAGACATGCAAAGTGAGATAAAATCCAGGAAATCTTGCCCGCAACGTTTGCACCCTTACCCATTGTAACAAGCTTGACACTCGGGTTTGCCACGCTGAATTTAAGGAGCTCAAGACCCAAGCGCAGGTTGTGCTCGAGGAATGGAATCTTTTCCTGTCCTGGAGCCATGTTGAAGACAAGCAAATTCTTTGCGCCGGCAGCAACCCTGTTTGTTTTCCATCCAATACATGCGTCAATTGACACATCCACATAAGGTACTGCCAGACAGAGTTACTTACAGAGTATTGATAGACTTCATTGTTGCGTCAACAACGGTAGCGGGACTTAGGGGGGTTTTGGCATTAAAATAGTCTGGACAATTATGAGCATGCCGATTAGATTTTGGCGACTTGGATCTTGCGAATAAAGTTACTTACCATTAGCACCGGACCAGACAGAAAACAAGGTTGTCGCAGGGTCAAATTGGGGTTTGGAATCTTTCCAAGTAGTCACTTGCTGAATAAGACCAGGCATTTCGGGTATTATAGTTCCAGTTGGAGCTTCTCCCTAATTGTGTCAAAGTGTGAATACCATACTAAAAAAATCTTGGAGCCATGCAATCGCATGGATATACCTTGACAGACATTGAATCAGTGCTAGATCCCCCAAACGCATGATTCTCCATTTCCGTTCCGAGCTCTTGCGAAAGGTATTCCACCCAAGTTGGTCCATTGCTGTACCGACCTTGAGAGTAAAAGCTAGGGTACGGGTACGTGTTGTTCAAGATTCTAAAAGTGTTGCCGTTGTCTGACAGGGAATCACCGAAAGCTACAATCTTTTTGAGGCCAGCAGGCTTCGAGCCCGGGATTTCCCAGGGCCAGAGTGGAAGCGAGAGTCGGCGGTCCAGGACTGCATGTATTTCATCTCGCCGTTCAACAGGGGCAGAGTATGCAGATGTAGCCGCAAGGGCCAAAAGAACTGGAGCAAAGGGACGCATAGATGGTGACGGACAGATGAGGTGATTGAATAGTTAATGGCAATCTACACGAGAGGCGAGTACATTCACTTTCTGGGCACCTTTTTAACTAGGTCAACTTGGTCTTTTTGGCATATCTTTTTTTGACAGTCCTTCTTTTCTAAAACCGTTTTTTCCAACAAAGATCCTAAAAGAAAAAGGTGTATGCAAACAATTTCATATCCGCTCGTTGGCAATGGCCGCAATGCTTTATTTTTTGTCTTTACTGTGCAACGAAACCGTTTGCTTTTGAACAAAACAACTCGCCATGGCGGGGATCTACGACAGTTTTCTTCTTGTGTGTGTTGTGACGAGATGGAACTTCTAACCCATGGACGCAAATCAAAAAGCAAGACGCGGACAAGTGTCACTTGAGTTGCTCCAATCCCGTTGAGCGTATAAGTTTCATTGCCGTCTTCCTTTTGTTTAAAGCTGTTTTTATTCCTTTAAATTGGGGGACTCTCCATCAACACACTCAACAAGAGGTTGTTTGGTACGTCTTTTGACTTCCGATGGCCGCCGCAAATCCACCCATGACCATCCAAAAGCAACAAAATATGGCATGCCCGCGGTCTTTGCCAACAACTTTTATAAATGATGTTGATGCACTGCTTTTGTTAAATACCACCTAGTAGGAAAAGCCCCGTTTCTCTCTGCAGGTTCTACCTACGTCCATCCTAGTCTCTGATGCTTATTGTTGAATCTTGCCCAACCTCCAACTGATGGAAACCTTTACTGCTTTCATTAGGAAATTGATTTAATTTTTAAAACAAAACAACCATCAACTGGTCCTTTTGCTTATGGGCTCGGATCGTCTCTCCAACCCCATGAATGGTTAAGCTGCAAAAGGCACTTATAACACACGACCATCAAACAAACCATATATTCCTTTGCATTGTTTTAGTACGAATAGCGTAGGGATTTATTTCCAAGTCCCAAAACCTCTGCAAAGTGCCTGAAACGTGAGGCGTACGAGTTGCAAAAGGGCAACGAGAGCTGAAACGCGGTCAGTCTTTTGCTTCTTTAGAGCGGGAATCTTTCAAAATGTCACACTCCGAATCTCTCAACATTGCACTTCATCCTCCTACGCACTTTTTAAACAGTCTGCTCTCCCTCCAGTCTCGGGTCGGCATGCAGGACGGATCTGCATCATGCTTCCCTTTGTGAAAAGTGCAAACGTTGAAATACATTTGGATAATGACCGCATAGAATTGGCAGACGGCTTGCCCAACGGTGCGCCCATTCCTGTCTTGTCTGGGAAAATTGTTTTGACATCTTCAAAGAATGTGGGATTGGTGGACTTGACGTTGAGCGTGCAAGGCGTTCTGGTAACGCGCATTTACCTTTTCCATGTTTGTTTTACTCTGTTGTCTTGACAGTTTCTCACCTCCAGGACTGTGATGCAACTGTATTGAATCTGGTGAATGATGTGATTGGTACATCGCCGGTACATCCCGTAAGCCAGTCCATACTCTCATATGAAAAGACACTATGGCGAGCATCTCCCGGGAAGCCGGCTGTTGCTCCTACCGAAACAGTTTCTACGACCTCGTCGCCTGTCAAGTCTCGAGAGCTACCTGGGGGAGACACTGTACTTTTGGGTAGTCAGGCTCCCAACAAAGGGTCAAAGGCTTCAACATCCACCAATGGAGAACTCCCCGCCGGACGTCGCGAGTGGCCATTTTCTTTTAAATTACCTTCCACATTACTCCCCTCTGTTAACACTCGCTACGGACGGGTGTCGTATATTCTGAAAGCCAGACTAAAGCGAAAAGGCTTGGGACTGGATTTTAACGCCCGACGAACATTTACTGTCGTGCGCACAAGATCACGAGGTGCTGCATCTTTCGGTGACTTTCCCCTAGAGGACAAAACCGCCTTGTTCTCTGGCATGGTCACAATGCCAACGATAGCATTTTGCGATGATCCGACATTACGTGTCAAACTTAACCTCAAAGTTTTGGAACCAAACAAGGTGCGGGATATTCGATCTGTAAAGTGCTATGTGAAAGAGGTTTCGGGCTTCTGGTGAGTTACCCTTAATCTGTTAAAGCCACATTTGGTCAGCCGTCTAAAGTATATCCGTCATTTTTTAGCCACGAGGGACAATTCTATGAGAATCAGACTCTTCTAGGCAGTCCATCAATATGGAAGCCTGCTGATGAACCACCGTCACCAGTAGATGATTCCGACGAGCATCCCTTTGCATTGGCGCGCACCATGGTGCAAGCAGGTCAGAAACAGAAACTAGTGGACACGTCTGCTGTCCCGTTCACCGTATCCACAGTGAGTATCAGGATGGGGTTCTCCCTAGTCGCCTTTTGTTTAATCTCGTTCGACTCTTGCAGGTGGGCGCGAATATGGATTTTGATACGCCTCATATGCGAATATACCATCTTCTGAAAGTAAAAGTGGATTACGAGCCTTGGGGAGCAGACCTTGGGAAATCCCCTCCCCTGTCACTGCCAGGCAATCCTCTATCAAGCTCCTCGTCGACCTCCCATCGTAAAGTAGAAACTTGTGTCATGCAAATACCACTCCCCATGTGGTGGGCCAGCTCTCGACGACCCCAGTCGTGGCTGGAGGGTCTGCCGACGCGGACTGCATCGGAAAAGCTTCTCGGCGTCTCAAAGTCACGTTTCCGTCTCCGCAATTCGTCAGAACCCGTCGAGCTCCTAACTCGTCGTGTGCATGAGCAATCGCCGAACCGTCCCATTTTTAGGAAGACGGCAGAATCATCACCAGCGCTATATAGCGGTAGGGAAAATACGTTGGAGCGATCAAACGCCGTCCGGGGCAAGAAAAATGACGTGAACAAGGCGTTACCATCTCGGCCAGATTCAATGTCCTCCGTCACTAGTGGGCAGTGGACATTGGATGAAACTGGTGTATATACTTTCAAGATGGAAGATGGTACTGCCACTTCTAGTGGCCTGGACACAGTTTTCGAAGAAGCAGACGATGAGAACGCGGACGAAAGGGAAAATAAACCCCCTCAAACTCAAGTCCCTGCTAGCGATAAGAAGCAAAGAAACCGGCAGTCGGCTGGATTCTACACATCGATTTCCAGAGACGACGGAAACCCTGTATATAGTTATAATGAACTCGCTCTCAGCGAATCTGTGTTTACGTCTGGAAAGACTCTTACCGACAGTCCCATCGCCGTATCTGTTCGCGAAAGTGGCAAATGGGAATTGGACGCGGAAGGTGTATATACATTTGTGTAAATTGTAAATATAGTGTAGCGAGCAGGCTCCTTCTGAATTCTACCCTGACCTGATGGAATTTTTGACTGCTACCACAGGTTCATTCCCCCTTTGCTAATGATGGCGATATTCGGGTCCAAAGCTGAAATTCATAAGTAAATCCTTTTTCACTTTGCGTCCCACTGGGACATTTGCTCCCCGCTATCCTTCTCAGCTCTCCGGGACTGGCAATTTGAAATTTATCTTTTGGGATGGATGGAAAAAAGGCGTCACATTCAATCGCAGTTGGTGATTGGACAGATGTCAGAAAGATCCGTTGACAGAGCGGATGAGACAAGGCCGTAGCGTATAGCTGAGCACCGCCAATGATAAAGATGTTGGTATGTGCGATCGTTCCCACATTGGATAAAGCAGCATCAAGAGCGGAAAATGCATAGGTAGGCGCCTCCGGGGTACTTTGGCTGAGGAGGTCCAGACATCAAAATGAGCTTTTGAACCTAGACTACTCCAAATCCGGTCTTGCATAACCGAACCTATACCTGATCACGTCTTTTCGCACGTCCTCTCTACTTGACAATACAATGTTGATCCGTCCCTTCAAGGGCCGGAATTTCGGTGGTATGGACTCCCACGTTTTGCGACCCATTATTGTAACATTCATCGGTCTGTAGTTTTTATCTGATTCATCGTGCAATGGCTCGTCGTCGTCAGGAAAAGCCGAGTCCGGTCTGCGTCCTAAGAAGGTTGTCACCTGCTGGAAGAAGCGCATGTCGCCAGGCAAGCGCCAGGGCAAGCTACCGTTGACGCCAATCCCTCCATTTGCCAGCGCAGCAACGATGAGTGTTAGTGATGGTTTGCTCGCCATTGCAAACTGCCTGACAATCTTCAGAACTTTGAGGGAGTGGGAAGCGAACTGGTTTAAACGTGATCGTGTCCACTTGTTCGGACATTCGGACATGAATGTAAAAGTCCTGAAACACCGACCAAGTACTCAGTTCAGCCCATCTAAACGTTTTATTATCACCAAGACTTTTTTTTGCAATATGTTGACAGCCGAGAGCTCAGAAAGCTTTAATAAGCTAAACTTGGACGAAAACTGGGACCAAACGGATACGTCGTCGGATCTACCCGAAGAACCTATTCTGGTCCCCAACCCAAAGCGTTTTGTTCTGTTTCCAGTCCAGTTTCATGAGGTTCGTCCCATATTTGCTTTTGTGCTCATCTCCTGCCTATCTAAATAACGCAATCTGCAGGTGTGGCAGGCCTACAAAATTGCCGAGTCGAGGTTCTGGACTGCAGAGGATGTCGAGCTGTCAGAGGACGTACAGGCGTGGAGCAGTATGTCTGGAAAGGAGCGAGCATTCATTATGCATGCTGTCGGAATGATAGCCGGCAATGATGCGATGATTGGAGAGACTGTGGACTCAAAATTGAGCGACGACGTTCAGATACCGGAAGCCAGATGGTACCTTCAGAATCGGACCACATCGAATGACGCTTGTATATTGACCAGTTCATGCATAGCTTTTTCGGGTTTCAAATGATGCAGAGGAACATTCATGCAGAATTGTTCACAGTTGTAATGGATATCTACTGCAAACCAGCGGAAAGAGACTATGTGTTTGACGGCCTGAAGCAGTGTAAGACACGTCCTCGAGCAAAAGGATGAATGATAACTTCTTAAACATTCGCTTTTACTAGTACCCAGTATCAGCAAAAAGACAGCGTGGGTCCAGCGGCATATAACGGATTCAAGCGAACATTTCTCTGTTCGCCTTGCTGCCCTGGCCATTTACAATGCAGTGTTTCAGTCTACCGTCATCGCCTGTCTTCTTTATTTGGCGGCACCGAACCGTCCTGCAGCTAGCTCAACCACGCGAACCGCGCCTTACCTTCCTGGTCTTATTCGCGGTCTAGCTCGGCTCAATCGGGATAATGAGACCTATTATCGATTTTGCAACCTTCTCGGCAGCATTTTGGTGAACCGTCCTCCGACAAGCATTATCCATATGATGGCTAATGAAGCGGCAGAAATAGAGAAGCAAGTCTTTGCGGATATCCTGAGCATCTGTGGTGGCACTATCACTTTGCTTGGTCATCCCATCGAGGCGGCGCAAATTGAACAGCGGATACGATATGTGACGGATAAAAGTTTGGTGGGCATGGGCTTTTCGAAACTCTATAAAGTAGAGAATCCGCTGCCGTGGATGGACGAGGTTTTGGCAACTGAAACCGGTGACGAAGCACCAACGCAGAAACAGCCACCGTCAGGGAGCTCCAATGGAGGTGGGCAGCAAATGACTTCTGACGAAGGGTTTACAATCGATGCCGACTTTTGAGGACACGGGGTATTGTTTGTATGCAGATTATTTATTGGTGTTAAATAGCTACGTATGTCAATCGATGGCATGCTATATTACAGGGATTCTGTGGGCCACGTTTGATGGAATGAGGTATTCGAGCTAATGCAGTACTGGCGAACATGTTGATCTATGTCTGCCTAGCTAGAACTTATTCTTCATCCACAATGTACGTGTCGTATATCAGCCGCTGAACGAATGACGGCGGATGGGTTCCACTGCAGGCTGTGGTCAGAGAAACGTTTCGTAGAAATAGTTATGCAATTGTGTACACTTACACATTCGTGATGAAAAGTGAGACGTCTTCTGGTCCCACATAGTCAAAGTGGGGATTCACTATATCGACGCTATCAATGATATCGCCTAAACGGTACTTGAGTGAATCGCCATTAAATATCAGGGCGCGTTCAAGCAGAAGGGCATTACCCGCTTCAAAGCTGTATACTGCGTCTGGGTTGATGCACAGGTTGAAAATGTCCGTGTCATAAGGATAGGATGGAGATAGCTTATGTAGGCCAGTGCATACTACAATCGGGGTTGAGTACTCCTTTGCGGCGGCAGCAACAAGCTGGCTGCCGCAAACGGCCACCACACCGCCATTTGCGGTAACTGGCAAGAGATTCAATGCCAAGTTTGAGAATTTCGAACGTTATAGACATACCTGCGTGTGCCCCCAAAATCACCTTGTTGACGCGCGACATGACTGCGAAGATTGCTGTATCTGTGATGACTGTCGTGTCAATGCCCGCAGATGACAAGGCGAGAGCCATTTCGTGTCCTTGATAGCTGAATGAGGATTGAGATACGTCGTCCGCGGTTCATCTTTCAACCCTTCCCAATCCAGAACTTACGACGGCGCTGTTTCTGCTACAATGACCTGGAACTCTCGCACCTGCGCTGCCACCTTCAGAAAGTGCTCGACCGTCTTTGACCTTCCCACAGTCAGAATGATCTCCCTGTTGTCAGCGTACTTGGTTTCAGTGAAAGGTTCATAAACTCTTGAAAACAGATCATACGGACTTGGAGTGTATATGCTCCCATGCTTGATTTGATATATTCGTTGACGTATTCTCGAGTTCGTCAATCATCTCTTCTATGCTCTGTTTAACGTCGGCAACAAAGTTCCGTCGGCGTTCTCCAAAGTCATCAGACTCCGACGTGGTTTCGGCAGTTTCCGCAGCATCACTGGCTTCAGTTTCGACGTTATGTTCTTCTTTAATCAAATGCAGTACTCGCTTGACCATATTGCCCACAGCAAGCTCTAAAGACAGAGATATATCAGCCATTCTCGCCATATATCTCAGGATTTGGTAGTCGCTCGACAAACCTATGGGCTGGGCACCTTCTAACCGACTCCCTACTTCTTTTACCAAGGCCGATAGCTGTTCCACATCATTGCACCGACTTGCCGCCACCACATTTCGTAGCAAGCGGGACGTTGCTATCGCCACATTATAGGAACCTACAATCTGCCTATACGCCAGCAAAAGAGGTCATGAAGTTAAGGACGCTTGATTACTTGTTGGGCACTAACGTGCGGTCCTCACCTTCTTCGCAATTTCGCTACAAGCGAGTCGATCTGGTAATTTATCTCCTTCAACATTTTTTACGAATCTCAGCTCACGAGATCTGAAAACGGAAACGGTGCCAATTTCGTTGTGTCGAGCGAATTTTATGACCGACCGTCGGGTGTTTACAGCCAGGGTGCTCGCCTTCAAGCTTTGCCCTTGTTCCAAACCTGGTCCCGTCGCCTTTGCAATTTGTGAAATTTCGCAACGTCGTCGTCGGTCGCAAAAAGTTGAGGCCAACGATCGGTGACTCATTCACGCGCGTGTTCCTTTCTGCACTCGTCGACAGTCGACCGCGGGTGAGAAAAGAGGCCTACCAGTCGGGAAAGAAGGGGCGGGAGCAACGGCGTCAAGACGGATAAAGAACACTCTGCAGGAGGGACGGACGCAGCGACATACGTTTGCATACCATTGAAACAAAGAAAGCGGATAGCCCTTGATTTTGCTCACCGACAACCATTGACGACTATTCGTGACCCTTGGCGATCTCTCTTGTGCCGTTATCGACAGTCGCCGGTCTCAGCTTCTCGAACTTTAAAGAGCAGCTGCTTGTGATAGGTCTCCAGTTCTACATTTCCTGTCATTGCAAACTGTCAAATGTTTGGATCTCAATTTGATATACTCGTGCGCCCGACCAAGTTCTAAAGCGTGGTTTTTTAGTTCAGTGCGGGGACGTCAATTTAGGGCCATCGGTGCTGCAGAATCAACCACTATCCCTTCCTTATTGCTATCACGGCTGTTGGAACATAGAGCGCGGTCGTTTTCTCCCGAGGGGATTCGACTGTTCACGGTGCCCTGAATCTTATGGCTCACCATGGTATTGAACCCGGAGCAGCTGGTGAAGAATTCAAGAAATTGGAATCTGTAAGCTCTTTGATTTATTTCTGCTAAAAAGTTACGATTCTTCATGATCCGATTACAACGCCTTTGCAGGTGGACATCACAAACATTCGTATTCAAAAGGAAGAGACTAAGGAAAGGCGAATAGCGTATGCGAGATGGCTACCTAACTGAAAGATGTAAAATCAAATGCAAGCTAATGCATAATAATTTCACCTATATAGAGAAATATTGTCACGGCGCCATGAACTATTAAAGGAGCTTTTCATACGGCGAAGCATCTTGAACGAAACCGAAGCCATCTTACGGGAATTGTCAAATCTTCCTTTGGATGAGGCCGAATTTGCGGAATTCCAAAAGGAGTATAATTTATCGAGGTATAGTATCTTCCGCCCCGTTCGTGGCTTGAACGCTGGTTGCAGCATGGTTCTCAAATGTTGAATCTCTTTCAGAGACCAAGTAAGGATGGCAGATATGTCAATAAGTACCGCAAGTCTTAAATGTATTCTCATTAGCTTACGAGAAGAGAAGACGGAACAGTGGCTGAAGGTCAAGGTGGGTCTCAGAAAACGGGCGATATCAGCAGAAACCGTCGATGGGATGTCGTGCTGACCGCCTGTCATGTACCAGAGGAACTTCCCGGGTACGACCAAGGTGATAGACGCGGCAGCGGTGCCGCAGAAGAAGGTAGTGCTTCGGACGAGAAGCCTCCAACAGATCCAGGGTCTGCGCACGTGGATCGCCGGCGCTTCCTTCCGCCGGTTGAGAGAATGGTGACCAGGGGCATATCTGCCAAGAAACTAGCTCTTAGCCCGGAGGTAAATTTCTGGCGACCTGAACCTCCTACTTATCCAAAAAATGAACTCTCGATAAGGCTTCAACAGGTCCTTCGGCGATTTCTCCGCATGTGGCCACACCAACAACAGCTCCTGCAACGCCCAGTCCCAGCGCCTCTACTGCGCGACGTAGAAGTTCAACATCTCATCGCATCGCCAATTCCCCAGTCACACCAATCAACGTCACCTCTACAAAGGCCAATCGTCCAAAGCTGTTATTAAGAGACGCGAAAAGTCAACCTGGGAGACGACCCGCAGCAGGGGGTAGCGGTACTCGTCAAGAAGCAGATACGCAGATCGAAGGCTACCGATGGTACGAATGGCAGCTACGAGTGCAGTCGAATCCGATTTCAGGGTTGCTGCCGACGGCCACAAAGTCGATGACCACAAGAGACTGGCAGGTTGGTGCAACGCATAAGCGTGGATTTATCGAAATCTAGCACGTCGCATGAAATTAACTGCTCCGCTCTAGGCCGCAAGAACTGAAGTGCAGCAGATGAAATTGCTCCAAAAGGTCGATCTGCTCAAAGAGAAGAATCTTTGGAGTTTCAGGCAGTTGAAACCTCACGTTGCACCTCCACGTCCAAAGACGCACTGGGATGTTCTCTTGGATGAAATGGTATGTCGTTTGGCTCGAAGTCTGGCTGGTCCGTATGTCATGCTAACTATTTTTATAAGAAATGGATGCGTGTCGACTTTCGCCAAGAGCGTAGATGGAAGATTGCTACTGCATGCAACATGGCTCATTGGGTCCTTGAGTGGCACGAAGCTACCGACAAGTCGACATTGTGCGTTCCGGTGAGTTGGTGGTTGACAACTCCCGCATCGATTCGCCAATACCCATAAATTGAATCATCTTAGCGTCGAATGCCCAAGGACAGAACTAAACAGGAAGACCCACCGGGCGATGACCCAATGTGAGTGCCAAATGGTTACATGCATCCGATATCTATTCTTCAAATCACTGAGGCTACTGGCGTGATAGGGACGTTTCGACAAATCAGGACGAGGATAAGACACGACCTGGTAAATTTTTGGTTCAGTGACATTGTTTTATGTATTATGCTTATACATTTCCTGAAAGACTTGTCGCTGAACACTGAGCAAGTCCATGACCATCACGGAGAACAAAAAGAGCTGCAGTCAACGGACCGGGAAGAAACCCCTTTACCTGCCGACATTGAGCATCCGGAAGGCGAAGAGCCGCTACCATCTCTTTTTATGGATATAGATACGTCCACCTATCTGATTTACGATGGAACGAACGGGCAAACGCTAGATATTCCGGTGTACACCCCTCTCACGGTTGATGCTGACGAACTCTACATCGACGAGAATCAGCATGAGACTGTAGTGCCTGTTTCTGAGTTGATTACAGCGAGAACTATGGTGAAGGACTATGGAGATAACCAGCAAGAGGAATTCACACCCCAACTAACCGACCAGCAACGCTATGACAACGCAAGACTCGTCTCTCGTAAGTCTAGTAGTGCACCTTTCACCGTTTTGTATGACATTCTCTGATATTTTCTACCGCATCTAGCAATTTTCAGTAGAATGTCTGAGCAGCATGAGGATTCGTCAATACCACCACCCCGAATACAGCCCACCAAGACCGAAACACCGAAAACCACGCAGCATTGGACGAAGGAGGAAGATGATATCCTTATTTCACTTGCACTCAGCTATCAATATAACTGGACCATCGTCAGCGACATGCTGCACTCCCGTCAAGTTCCAGGAATTCGATGGCGACGCAGCGAGTGGGAGTGTTATAGTCGCTTCAAGGAACTTGGCCCTGCACGGACTGTGGACCGAAGCATATCAGGTGCAGGATCGTCTGCGTCACTTGCAACTCCAAGACCAAAGAGTGGTAGTCCACGTGAACTTTCTGCTCAAGCGGAAGCTTCGGAAGCCAGAATTCAAAAGCACCTGACCACGTTTGAAACTATTAGAAGACTAAGTAGAAACAAAGACAAGTACAAACCGCCTGGAGGTGAGAGCAAGAGTCTACGTGCTACAGTAAAAATGGAGAATCCGAAGGTTGACTGTGTCGTATTGCTAAATAGATCGCAAGCCGCCGGCAAAGATTATCCTCACCACACACGAGACACATTATCAATCGCAAGCAGGTGCAGGAATAGATCCCGCAGGACCTCCTCTGACGCCGACAGAGCTTGCTATAATGCGGAGAGAGAGGGCATTACGTCAGGCTCAGGAGCATGGACGACATATGTATGGTGGACACACACGAGCGGTACATATGAATATTGGGCTGTCTTTGAGGTTTTGGAACGTGTACTCAACCAGATGTCGCATGTGTTGCAGGGCATGATGCTCGGGCGACCGATGCCAGCTGGCGGCGGTGCTCTGCCACATCCATACGCTCAGTACAGAACTGTTGCTCGACCGCCCACCACCGCGAACAGTATCCAAGGATCACCGGTCCCCGCTGGCCAAGCTCTTCCTCATACCCCAAACAACTCTCAGCATCCCGCGATACGACCTCCAGCAACGCCAGTGCTACCCGGACAAATACCGCCGCAAAGTCCGTCTCCCATGGTCAGATTGAATGGTACTGCACCTGCCATGACGCAGGAGCAGTACATGCGGGCGATGCTTGCACGGCAGCAAATGATGGCCTCCCCTCAGCAAAGGCATTTGGTGTCACCTCAGCCAGGGCAGTCGAGTAAGACTCACACTCATCCTGTAAGGTCCTTTCGATCGCGTATTAATAGTATTCCGTTTGCAGCTTCTGTGCCGCAAGTCGGTGATGCTGTGGTAGTGTCTACTTCCGGACCGGTGCCAAACATTGGTTTGCAGAACGCTTCTGTACCCACCATTAACCAACGAATGCAGATGGTCAGGCAGCTCCAATTGCAGCAGCAGCAACAACAACAACAACAGCAGCAGCAGCAGCAGCAACAGCAACAACAACAACAGCAGCAGCAACAGCAACAAACACAACAGTCACCTCAGCTACAGCAACTGCAATTGCATCAGCAGCAGCAACAACAACAGCAGCAGTCTCCTCCCCAGCCGCAACGTCTGCAGATCCCCGCTGACACACATGCACATACGGCCGCTGCATTTGTGGCTCTGCAGAACGCTCAGCAGGCAGCGAAAATGGGCCAGGTAGTTTTACCTTGAAAAGCACAGAATCAGTCGATGCTAGATTATAGTTAATAATCATTTATCACCACCTGCAGATGCCAGAGATGATGCAGCAACAGCGCCAACTCCACCAAGCACGGCAGCAGCAGGCTCTTCTCATGGGCGCTACCTCGGCCACAAGTCCACTCATGGCTGTTTCCACTCCGCGGATACCTACGGTTCCTGCAGATGCTGCGGCACTGGGCATATCACCATCCCAACAGCAACTACAGCAAAAGCAGGCCACGCAATCACCCCAGACCTCACAGGTTCAGCCAGAGGCGTCGTCGGCTCCAGGGTCGTCGACGTAGCACGAAGCGCCAGCTACCCTATAAAAAGCTTGCTTTTTGTGGTTGGAGTATGAGATTTTGGTAATCCGATGGGGATCAACTATACTTTGATAACTGTATTACACAATATATTTGTAAATTGGAATGGATAGTTACGTTTGAGTTTGGAATATGCAATATGCTGACAACAGCAGCGTGGCATTACTGCTGCCAGACACACCGCATATCAGACGCGGAAAGTATGGGACAAGTCTGTCAACAAACCAAGAGGCTACTGTTATAATGAACAACCGAACAGGGGAAAAAGAGAAAAGAATCCTACAACCGAGCACTTCCTACCGTGATGATTGCACGGAGTAAATAAGCCCCGCCCCAAATTGCATAGAGGGTACACATTGGACACAAAACAATGATGCAACCTTGTTGACGGCCCAGGACTAGACCCCACCCAACCCATCTTATTCACTATATAAAAGAACGAAACATCTGCGAGTTCCAGTGGTCATATAAATCAGACATTTTGCGCAACTGCTTGTGCCTATGGGATGAACCTTCACCTTATTTAGCCTCCTCCGGCTCATCAGCCTTTGCTTCCTCAGTCTTGTCACCTTCAGCTACGACTTAATGTTAGTAAAAAGCGTCCAAGAACACCGCAAGTCTCCAGCATTTTACTCACCGTCCTGAAGGTCTGAAGTCCACAATGTCAAGTTGTCCCTCAGCAGTTGCATGATCAATGTGGAGTCCTTGTAGGACTCTTCGCTGAGCGTGTCCAACTCAGCAATTGCATCGTCGAAGGCCTGCTTGGCGAGGTGGCAGGCACGATCGGGCGAATTCAAGATCTCGTAGTAGAATACAGAGAAGTTGAGAGCGAGACCGAGACGAATAGGGTGCGTCGGGGCGAGTTCCGTCTGTGCAATATCCGTGGCAGCCTTGTACGCGTCGTGGGCGTGAGACGCAGCCTCCTTCCGCTTCTCGCCTGTGGCGAATTCGGCGAGGTAACGGTGGTAATCTCCCTTCCTGAATAGTGAAAAATGATGTATGGTTAGCAAAATATTTTAGGTGTTTCACGAGGTATCGCACGGAATTCACGCACATCTTGTAGTAGAAGACCTTGGACTCTCCAGCTTCGGCAGCAGGGATCAAGTGCTCGTCGAGGACGTTGAGGATATCGGAGCAAACTTCGCTCAATTCAGTCTCGATCTTGAGGCGGTAATCCTTGATCTTCTTAACCTGGCCCTCGTTACCCTTGCTTTCCTCCTTTTGTTCAATGGAGGAAACAATTCGCCACGACGCACGACGAGCACCAATGACGTTCTTGTACGCAACGGACAACAAATTCCGTTCCTCAACAGTCAATTCCACACCAAGCTGTAAGTAAAATGATCAAACAAGACGTTATTCGCAGCTCACGCATGAAAAATGGCTTTGCACGGCGTACCTTGGCAACTTCCTGTAATAATCATAGATGCAAACAAGAGCTTTATCCATTAGCACAGTCGACCGCAACGCGTGGTTACACGCCACGCCAGTGATACTTGCCTTCATGTAAGACACCATCTCTACATGATGAGAAATTCAAAAAAAAAAACCTTGTCAGCAAAAACAATACATGGGGAAACAACAGCAATTGCTTGCCGCAGTCGCGAGCGTACGACAAAACACGACGTTTGCGCACAGCATTGCGAAATCTCAAGTTCATCAAGCTTACCATCGTATCTCTCTGCCTGCTCGGCGAGCTTAGCCATGTAGACTTGGTCCTCCCGTCCTCCTATGAACAGAAAGCACTCTAGTCAGCACCGACATGCAAACGTCACGGTCAAACACCTTTTTTTTTCGCATCAGACGCGTTCCCATCGTCGCGATGAACCGTACCTTTTTCGGCCATTTCGAGTCTGTCTTGTTCTGTAAGGGTGGGTAGTTGAAAGAGATTTCAATGGGGAGCTGTGTGTATGTCAGATACGACAAAGGTGAGCGTCCAAGTAAAAATGCGATTCGTTTGAGCGTATGTGTTTTTGTGAAATGGAGATGATGCGCACTTATGAAAAACAGCAAATCTCGGGCGTAAAAAAAAAACGAACGGTTGCAAAAGGATGGAACAGGATGGGGGGGGGAGAGAGAAGGGGGGGGGGGAATTCAAGCGGTTGAAAGTCTCTCAGCCACTTGACCCAATTAGGAAAGTCCATTTCGCGTTTTCTTTTTCACTCCGACATTTGGCCCACAATGACAATATGACAATATGGACCAATCAAATGATTAGAAGTTGTAAACATTCATCATGTGATCATAATCGCGTGTCATTTGATAAGGATTCTAGAAGATTCCAAATGTACAAGGCTTTCGGACATTTTAATCCGGTTTAATCGGTTGATCCAAGCTGATCGGCATCGGATTCCCTGGGACAAGATTATAGTGGAGGGGACTCGACAAGGGTCGTCCGGGGGACATGGGGGTTTTGTTAAACATGCTGTATATGGTTTCAATCGATGGAAGTTTGGCACTGGCAAACTCGCTTGCTGGAGCACTTTGGACAAGTTGCAAGAGTCGTCGTCGGATCTTTTCCGCTAGCGTCGATTCTTCCTCGAATGGGTGCTGACTTTGTCCGCTCAGTCGCGCAAACTGTTTGTTGGTCCATTCTTCCAATTCACGCGCGTTCCGCTCCAACAGTAGAATCGCGTCGCCCTTGGCCAACTCTTCATCTAATTCCCGATCTTGCATTCCCAAACACGCAGGAGAGAGCAATGGAACAATATCCACGCCCTCTCGTCGATAATATTCCAGCTCTGCATCCTTGATGATGCGTTCGGCTTGGCTCTCCACTTGTTGCACTTGCTGTGCAATGTCAACCGCTCCCCACTCAGTCGTCACCTTGTCCCCTTCGGCCCCCTTCTTTACCTTCGCTGAAAGATATGCTTGTACTCTTTGCACAAGCGAGTGTCCTCCTCTCGTCAACCGATGTATGGTTGCCTCCGCTGGCGCCCGCACCGCTGGTGGAAGACCGTCGACAAATCTTTCAATGCTTCGAACATAGGCCTGCCCCGTGAAATCCCCATATGCATTTCGTAATAGTATTGGATCTGTATTACTTGGAGGAAGCTCTCGATAGTGATAAGGTCCATATGCATCCATATCCGCTATTTCCATATGAGTCATCATGATCAGTTCATGTTGTCTCCTGTTACAAGGTCAGATGTAAGGGACTTACTTGGAATGTCGGCAAGTGCCACAGACTGCAGCGAGTCATGTGTACACGACAGGTATTGACTGATATGGCGCTCGAATGGAGTAATATCTGGTGGCTTCCATGACGGCCCTACTCAAAAGGCTATTAGACAGCGAACACAGTGTAATTACTATCTAGAAATAAACGTACCTCGTATAACTGACCCGTCCGGCATGTATTGCAAGCTCATTCGACTTTCCAAGTCCTCCGTGTGCTTCATTCGCTTCGACTTCCTTCGTCCTTCTACCTTTTTCTCCGCTGATACTGCCTAATACAGGCAAAAAAAAAGGACATCAGGGTCGCGAAACGCGACATGTGGGGTTAACCATTAGTGTACCTCCAAGACTGGCTTATCGTCATCAAGATCCAGGTCTATCTCCACATTATTGGCTTCACGCTCAATGAGTTTCTTTCCCTGGGAGCCCAGCTTTTCCGCCGCCTTGTAATACACCGTGTCTGGTGAATTATACGTTTTGGCATTGGAAATGACCAGATCAAAGTCGAACTATTACAGGGAGTAATGTGAATCATGTGTATTTATTCACAAGAGAAAAGAGAATGGCAGCCCAAACCTTAAAAGCGTCGTACGACTTATACTCTCGTCTTTCAACTCTTTTCTCCATAGTACCTAATATTTTTGAAATGGCGACCACGAGGAGAGTAAGTCCAAGCAACGCTAGCACCACAGGCATCATCTACATACCCAGATCCATAGGTTCCGAGATGACGGTCATATAATCCGTCACAAGGGAAGTATCCACAGGCTCCAAAAAAAATCCGTAATGGTCTTTTCTAATATTTGGGATAGAACTTAATAAGAAGGTCCGTATGCTCGGCCGCGGCAAGGATATACTTACTGCTTCAGCGCAGCAATGACTTTCTTCAAGATGGTGTAAAGGCCCTTCTTTCTTGGTTTCCAAGCCCCTCTGCCATTCACTGCATTGCGGTTTTCGCTATACCCCCTGGCACGATCCTTCGCTTTTCGGAAGGGTCTTATAGGTCGGCCGTCCGATGAGACATCAATCTCTTCGCCAAACTCGTCCTTGGCGTCGAGCAAACCATCGGATGAGACACTGACATCACGATTCAACGGCACTTGTAAATAGGTCCCTTCCGAGTCCCGTCTTGACCGTTTCAGTTCTGGAGTTGAACTAACCCCATCCCACATCCTCTTCCCCTCACCCTTTACGCTGTAAGACACTTTGACATCCTCATCCACGTCTATTTCTTCATCTGACTTGATTTCGACGGCATCCGCATCCGAATTTGTTCGCTCCCTGTCCCGCGGATGCGATACCAAGGAGACTTTATTTGTTCCAAAGCACAGCTTGAGACGAGTGGAACTATCGTCTCCTAGCTGACCCCGTGATATCGAGGGTGTTGGCGAACCGGCTTCTATGTCGTCTACGACGAGCTCGCCGCCATCTTCACCGTCGCTCGTGTGATCGCCTGATAAGTCCACAGAGCTATCGGAATTGACGGCAATCGGTGCTCCTAGTGCACGCGCAGCTTCCAGTGCGGACAGGCCTTTACGTTTTCCGCCTTGGGCAGCATTTGTGGCCGGCTCACTCGCGCGCTTTCGTTTTCCGCCAGTATTCCCATTTCGGCTGGGCGAGGACACATTTGAAGGCTCAGGTATCGATTGTACTTTTACAGCATTATTGCCCAACTTGAACGAAAGCTTGATCCGGGGCTTGCCTATGTCCGGCCAGAACGAGGGTTATGAGTGACACCGAGCAAGAAAAACAGACATTTCAGCAGTCCAACAACGACAATGAGATTGAGAGTTGTCCATTTTATGTTTTACAGCAAGTTGCAAAGAAGAAAGAGTTGGCAACAAGGCCGATGCAGCGTGCGATGACAACAAGAGCTCAAACTGTACCTGGCTGTGACATTCAGCTGTCCTGTCCTTGGTTCGCCGGTTTAAACGTCTGGCAAATTGCGAGTTTGGAACGGGTAAAATCAGGATTAGTTGCCTTTCCACGTGACCATATGGGAGGTTCGAAACTGGGTGGATGGACTGCTTTCGAGTTTTTTGCTCACGTAGTGGAGCATCTCCACAGACTGTTCTTCCTGACAATGTCGCATTCTCTGGGCTCTCCAAGCATCGATGTGTCTATATGCCCAAGGATACTGCATGTTGGGAACCTGCGACCACGGATTTGATGGGATTGACCATTAACCACTCACCAACCACCTAGAAAACTATTGAGAACTGTCACTGCCTCGCCTTCCTAAAACCATTATAAACATTCTGTCGCAAAAGATAAACGACTGCAGCTCACTTAAAACAACATTGACGTATCTCAGCCCAAGATCGAAAAGGTGGAAGACGAAGGATTTATAGCCACGTGACTATACAAGCCACATGTCCGCCTTGCGGGAAGACTCGGCTTCAAAAATTGGCAGGCTAGTTCTGTGGAATCTCGACCAATCATCCGCCATTCTGTAAGTTTGATCGTATCTGTCCTTTGCGTTGCTCACTTAGCGCGCAGCGTACTATAAAAGTGTGGCAGGCATAATTTTCAACGGCATTCTGGTCAGTAACCCCTAGGTTCTATAGACGATGTTGACCTCTCGCGTTATTTGCTCGGCGGCTCGTGTCTCTTCAGTAGTACGGCCTTCGGCACTGACCATTCGTGCCAATCCCGTTGCCACTTTCCGCTCTGGTGCGTGTGTCAGTCCACAAGGACAGTGGTGTTTTGGATCCATGTTGGCGGGATTTCCGGGTATCTTGAAATTTTCGCTCACACACCGTTTGGATTTCGGTTCCTGACAGCCCGGCCCGACCTCTTTCAAAACACCCAAGCAGACAAGCGAGATGCTGTTGTGGGCGCTGCCGCCCCGGAAAATCGTAAGGACATGTGTTTATAATTTACTGGAAACAAGGTGGACATTTGACTGACTCGCTATTATTGCTTCGCTAGCCGGAACAACCAGTGAGTCATAGGTTCAAACAAGGTGCTAGTTTTCAGATCATCTTAAACTCCTTGGTTATAGCACAATCGGGCGAACACAAATCCAAACTTCACGGCTCCTACCATTGGGACTTTGAGCGTGCTCTATCGATCGCGCTCGTGCCCTTGATGACCGCACCTTTCATTATCGGTTCTCACCCGTATGTTGATCTCGGTCTCGGTGTCGTAATTCCCCTCCACACCCATATTGGCTTTGATGCCGTCATTGAGGATTATCTTCCAGTTCGTCGGAATCCCATTATCCACCGCGTCATGAAATATTCCTTGTATACTGCGACGGGACTGTGTCTATACGGTTGCTACCAATTTAACACCAATGATATTGGCATCACCGAGTTTGTGAAGCGCCTGTGGACGGGAAAGCAGTGATCACGCTGTCGGTGCTGATGAAACTAAATGATAGTGGTTCGGTAGCCGTGTAGAGGAAGGTGGTCAAATTTGTATGTAGAGCACAGCTGCCATGTTTCTTCCTTTCATACCGAATTTGATTATGTGGTCGTTACAGCCACGATGTATTTCTTCGGATCCCGGCCTTTGCCATAATCTACTTAAACCATCTTTCACTATGACTCTAAGGACTATTCTAACCTGTCTTATCAAAAACTCTGTGATGACCATAGGTCCAGCACATTTTCAAATTTGCCACGAGATTCCCAGTATCCTCCTTTATAGTGCCACGACCGATTTCCATTAGAATACTCTTCCGGTCGTAGATCAAACCACTGAGGATGCCACTGCTCGCCGCGTGATTCCAGCATCTTTCGATAGTCGCGCTGCTTTTGCTCTAGTCGTTGCTTTTCTCGCTCAGCTTCCTCATCCCGGCCCTACATAAAATATTTTAGTTGAACAGAGTCGCAATGGACGTTGCCGCCGTTAATATCTGAGCTCTCTACCTCCTCGTACATCCTGAACAGCAGCGGTAAGTCACAAACATCATAGAAGGACATGGTTATAGCAAAATGATACGTACCTTTGGTCAGGTCTGTACCGTGTGTCGGTATTTGGAAGCAATCCTTCCAGGTCCGGCGTAAGCTCTGGACATGACAATAAAGTGCCCGTAAGGGGACGGAAAATGTTGACATCCAAAACATGAAAGTCCGTACCATTTAGTTCTAGTGCGAAAGATGTGAAGCCATAGATCTCCGGATGATTAGGTGGGTTGGGCCTTGCGCGCCACACAACCTCCAGTGCATTCGGAGCAGACTCATGGAACTTTTGTAATGATTTGTCCCAGTTTCCGCTAAATATGGTCCATATAAAGTTCAGGAATGGCGGTAAAAATCCGAAAGGTAGACGCAACGGTGTGAGTTACCTTAGAGACATCAACTTTTGCCCTTTTGGGCCACATATCGTGCCAACCACTTCATTTTTAGCAGAGGCAAAATAGCCAGACTCCTTGAATGAAAGTTCACAATAATGGCCTGGAGCCATTTCTCAGTCGATGGTCCATCAGAGAGCGTATGCTGGCGGTAACCTACCACTAGAATGGGATATGATTTTCATGGTGCCGTAATGTTCTAAGTAGCGACCAGAAGAGAAGACATTCCGCATGCATGTGGTAACTAAGAAAGAATAAGCAGAATCAGCGAGTTAAAAATGTGAATTTGACATTCAGGTACCGAAGATTGCTCCTACCTTTCGTCCAAGTATAATGCTCTCCCAGAGCTGGAAACGCAACGTGCACTGTATCCACAATATGTTACACAACCATGCTAGTATGTACCGCACAAATTTGCACTAACCGGTGCCTGTTGGTATCAGCTCCATCGATTTTCTGAAAAATCAATGAGAGAATGTTATAGCCAATAACGAATTGACTCTCATTACCCCCAAAACTTGGTCTTCACTTGACTATCTTGGAAAAAAATATAGTTGGGCGATTCAGCATGGCACGCCATTACCGGCGGATGGTGGCTGACCTGGATCATCAGCCCCAGCTGGTTAGCAGAGCCCTTGATCTCATCTAGATCATGCCCTTACTTTCTCTGATACAAATTTGAAACCTATAGAATCACTATTGTCAGCACATTTGCCATGGTTGATCACATACATCAGCGTTACCATACCTTTATCCTCTCTGACGCACTCATAGGTCTCACCCAGCAGTGGATTGAACTAACGCCCCATATTTAAATGATGATAAATGATACGCATGTCATTTAAATTGTTCACATACCGGTTTTCTACCCGCCCGATGTATGGTGGATGCATAACCTTATATATTTCGCGCCTTAGCAACAATCGCGGAGAGGATTCTCGGCGAACTTCCGCAACGTACCTGACACCGCAAATGCTGTTTCAAGTTGCATTAGGACACACGATTGTGAGGCTGTACGATTAGCAACGCGTTATACCTGCTATCAAGGCCAACCGATCAACAGGATCCGTGATGGATGCTGCTTGATCCAGAAGCTCACAGTATTCCAGCTCCTCGCATAGTTTCTGTAGGAGATTCAAGGGCTCATTCAGAGCGATGGGCATGGCGACCGTAGATAGATCTTTGCCAACCTATTGGTGTAACATCTAAGTAATCGCAGTCTAAGGTGCTGTTGAAGGCGAACTCACATTGTTCCGCAAGATTCCCATTATGCTAATATTTTGCATAGAAACCGTTGGAGCAGGCAGCTTTGTTCGTCGTACTATGGGAAGAGGCTGAATGGGCATGGCTACCTTGCTAGTTTCGTCCTTAGCTGGAGGAATAGTTTGAGTAACGGTTGCTTCCGACGTAGCGCCCCCAGAGGTAGATGCTGTTGATGCTTGGCGCGATCGCCTATTTGGTGTAAAGCTCTCGTTTGATCCCTCGTCATCATCCTCAAATTCTTCATCGCTGCTGAGACCTTCCTCCGCTTCATGCATAGAATCACTCTCAGCACTTTCTTCGTCATCGCTGTCTCCACCTTCTTCAGCATCGTAGAAAACGTCATCCCGCATGGAAGATGTTATTGAGCCCGCTTTGTGGAAATTATTGAGATGGAGCGAGGTAGTACTGGCGTGCGCAATGAATGACGTGAGAGTAACTGGCTCCAACCCGAACCTACGGCGCACGCGATTATTGTCGGCCAAGCATGCATGCAGTGCGGATTCCGTTTGCTGGATAGCATCATGTGACCGCTCCCTTTGTGACCGAACAGTCTCTCCGTATGAGTACAGCTCTCGCTGCATGTTGTTAGCATTCGACAGAGCATTGGCAATCACGTCCGAGATAGAATTCAGTATGAGCGTAAAGTCTGAACAAGAAATATTGCGCTCAGCATCGGCGCGCACAATTTGTAGACAGCCAGAACAACACCTTTCATCTGGCTTCTTTGATCCATCCGTCCTCGAGATGACTCGACTAACTCTTTCAATCGCCCCAACTCATTCGTCAAGGTGATAACCATATTTTCGGCCTTACGTTGCACATCACCCAGATCAGGATCCATCGCTCCTTTCGCTGTCCCATCCCACGGGCTTCCGGTATCATCATCATCTGGTATCAATTTGCCTCCACTTTCACTTTCGCGACCTAAGCTCATGGTCTTGGCCAATGTAAATCTCTGAAGGACAGATATCCAGGCCTGGAAGTCTTGCGGCGATTGTGCTTTGAAATGATAGAGGGCTTGACCAGAATCTGTCAGGGTGGTTATTCAGCTAAACGATCATCACGGAGAAAGCAGATGGGCAAGCCTTGGTATACCTATATCTATGAGACTTCGATCTGATCCGTAAATGCAGGATGATCAGATGGATGAAACCAGCCAATTGCCCAAAATCACCCCGTACCATGATCTAGATGTACAGCAGCCTTTGGCAGCTCAACGGATCCGCGGCAAAAGCTGCATGTAACATAGTGAATCCAATGCAAAATGCAAACCAAATGAAGAGAAAGAGTCTTTCGTCCTCCTCACCTTCCTGGATGTTTATAATAGGACAACGTCCCATTGGTATCTACTGTAACCCATCGTTTTTGGAACCCCTGCATCTTCTTATTCCCTTTCTTCAACAGCCAGTTTTCCATCTCTTTCCGTACCGGAGCTTGTGATGGCTCAACATCCTTCAATGCCACAAAAAAGAATAGTTTCTTCGACGTATTCCTGATAGGAGAATGGCGAGAGATGAGGATAAGTCAGCCAACAAGTAAGGACCGTGTGCTATTACTCACATTGAAAACGTATTATCCCATAATAGTACGCTATGGACGCGAGACTAACATTGAGCATTTGGCAACGCGGATTCCAATCGTGTACAAAGGTACCCACTAAATCCCAGGTTCTTCTATGTAGAAGCTCCCCTTGACGGTGAATTTCGACGAGTCATAGTGCGTAACGGGCATGATTTCCACAAGTTCCGGGTCAATGAACGATTCCTTTTTCCTTCGTCTGCCGGAAGCAGAACCCTCGGTGGATTCGGAAAAGGACTTTGCAGATGCATTGTCCTTCAGGGCGCCAAGACTGGGAGGATATTCGGCGAATTCAGGTGGTGTCACCGCTGAAGTAGTTCCCTTCGACCTGGGAACCAGTGGCGATGATGGCGTAGATGTTTTCTCATCCCCGTCGCTGCCGACAACCACAAAGCTCTTTCCAACTTCTCTGAGAGTTCCACTTTGTAGTACGTACGTTCCTGTTTCGGTATATGCACGGTTGACTTTGCGGTACAGTCCAAAGGATATATTTTTACGCCGGGTAAAGAAATTCCAGCACAGTTCCTTGCCCGGTTGGTCGACGTTCACAAAATGCTTAAAAGCACTCCTCTGTCTAATTGTAACCTCCTGCATATCCACCTGATAAAGGACCGTGCGTTCCCTCCGGCAATTGTCTGAGCTGGGAAATCAAGGGAAGATGATTCTTCACGCCCGCTGGCCTTCTAAGGTCAACTTCGAGACGCTTCGAGCGGGACAACAGATCACATGACCCAGTTGCGACTTATCTCAGCCAGTTCAGTTACTCTGGTTTCGATCTTGAAAGAATTAGAACTTCCGATGAGCAGCACAGCGGGAGCCCGAACTACGAGAGCACAAATCCAGAGAGGACATGACCGTGGCCGTGGAAATCGTACGTTCCCGAAACCCGGACAATCAGCCCAACGCAATATCTGAACACTCCAGCAATTTCAGAAACGGAGACTTTTGTGACTCCTATTAACCAGCCTGCTGGCGGCGTTCAACAAACCTCTGGAGGTGTGGGACGGGGTCGAGGGCGCGGGCGAGGTCGAGGGCGGTATGCATGCTTGCTGACACTGTACTCTTGGAACTTCGCTACTTGACGGTCCACCACTCTCACACTCTAGCATTTCACGGCTCTCTCCAAGTGGCACACAATTGCGAACTGATACACACCAAAGCGGGCAACAATCTTCGACGTCAAACTCATTTCGAAATATGAGAGGAGGCCGACGTCTTGGTACTTCATGCAGTGTTACGGAATATGAGCGGGTTGCAGCTAGCACGCAAATGCTCAATTTCACGGTTCTTCGTTTTGTCCCTCGTGCCTAGCTCCTCCTGCTGCAGCACAACCCAAGGATCGGGATTCTATGAGAGCCAAGATGGCCGAGGCAGCGGAATCTCGAATTAAAGGAGAGGAAGGGACATTCCAAGAAGAGAACAAGAATTCGAAAGGAGAATCATGATTTGTCAAGATCGTGGACATGGTTCACAGCCGGGCAGTGACCATTGGTATTATTGGTGCTTATCTTTTGTAGTTTGGTTTCATTGCCTTGCAAATATCGCAGTGCTCCTTCGCATTCTGTCATATGTCTGGGTTTCCTAATGTCACTCCTTCTTGCGGGATATATCTGAGCATCGGCAGCCTTACAAACGTTTCTTGTGAGCGAAATGAATCTTCACCGAAAATGATGGGTACTGCATATAGTATTAAATGACCGTAGCTCAACCAAAATATAGTGGAACGCAACCAATTTTCCCATTTTCCCAAACCACCGTTAGTAAGGCCCCTCTGCCGAATTGTGGATGAAAGCCCAGAGCCATTGGTAGAGGCGGTGCATTGTTGCCGCTCCGTTCTACTGGACGCTGATTCTGGGGACTTGCCTCCCAGTTCGAGGTCGTCGTGATACGGGTATGGCCCCGCTCTGGTGCGTCGACTTCCTGTCGGTAAGGGGACCGTGGGGGTTGAGGTTGTGGTTCACGTGGGTTCCATTTTGGTCCTCGGATGTATCCACTAGGTAGGATGAGATTCTCAAAGCAGATGCGTCAATGCAAGCTGGCTCTTACAGTGGTTGAAATTTGGGCAAGGGCCTCGTTCTCACGGCAAGGAGATATATTAATTCGGCACCCAGATGATCGCCCTCAAAGGCCAAAGCTAACCGCTCCCCAGTCGGATCAAAACTCATACGCTTGATGACACCGCCGACCCTGGAATCTTGTCTTAGCAATGTGAGCAGCAGAGAGCATCAGCAGGAGGTGCTACCTACTTTAACATAGTACCGGCTGACGTTCGACTAATGCGCATAGGCACGGGCAGGGTATATACATCCTTACACTCTGTAGGAATCATTTTTTAGCATCGTAATGGTGCGCAAAGGAATAAACTACTTGCATACCGAGATGCGGTGGTGGGCTATTCATTTGCCATACGCTTATTTGATCAGAACCTTCCATCGCAAACATGAACATTTTACTGTCCGGCATCCAACAGACAGACTTACACACCGAACGGGAAATGAGGACACCTAGCCGAGGTGGATGAACGTAATAAAGAATACATACATGTGGTCGGCCGTGATGCGTCGGCAAAGACTTTCCTTCCCATGTTCGCGTTTCCCATATGATCAAACGATGAGTCCTATATCAGAGGGCAATATTACTGAATACGCAAAAAGAAGCCGTTCTCATATTTTCCTTCCTTACGTGCATGCTTGGATAAGGAACATCCCGTCTGGACTCCATTTTAATTCCGCTGTGCCCTTGCATGGCCTGCTGATGGACGTCGGGACCTCCGCCGCAACGTCCCAAATTATGATTGCTGAATTTGTACCCGACCCCATTGCTAGAAATTGACCGTCCGGTGACCATGCTAAGGTCGTGATACTTTCAAAGCCAGGAACGCGTAGAAAATTCATCCATGCGTAGCCTGGATGTACTTCATCGAAGAGCGCCGGAACTGTGTCTCGATCAAAATTCGCATCTCCGCCTTGCTGAAATCCGGTTTGTTCAAAGAGTAGACGCCACAGACAAACGCCATATCTGGAGGTGGTGTTTAGAAAGCACCGCATGCCCTCAGGATGAGTACGATAGATATCCTTACTTGGATCCAACAGCAAGGACAGGCGCTCCATGTGGATTCCACACAGCACATGTTACATCCCGTTGATAAGGATGATTCAGCCCAAGGGTAGGTCTGGGAAACCACCCTGAAACATGGTTCTTAGTCAGGTTCAAACAAGGTACCTGTGCATGGACATACTTTCTGCAACAACATCATAGATGTGTACACTGTCTTGCCTGTGGACAATGGCCAGAACTTGACGCGAGTGATGCCACGCAAGGGTTCTGACAGGTGCGCGTTGCATATCTTGCAGAAGTGTCGTATAGTACTCCATGTGCTGAAGTTGCTGGAAAAGTAATGATTATTGGTCCTTCGGTATATCATTCTGAATCACTACGGCTCTCATACAATATTCGCTTTTCCATTCATGAGGCGACAGGCATTTTCCGCAATCGCTTTCAAATGAGCTTGAGTTGCAATCCAAAAATCCAGTGATGTGATACTAGTCGAAGTTGTGGGTAAATAGATATCGTGAGACGATCTGACAAAAAGCACAGAATACGCACTGCGATATTATTGGGTACACACTGGACCGTGTCTTCGAGCTCCAATTCGCATACGAATGAGAGGATGTTCTTGACGCGTCGTCCACCTCGTACGGAAGTTTGATCGATGGATATAGGATACCCTAGAGTAACATCCAGCAGAGGTCAATAATACAGATGGCGGAGATGTTCTCAACTGACCAATACCTACACCAGCTTTTGCAAATCTCTCCAGGGCTGGGTCATCGTTGCTCTTGATATTCTCTGAGGACAAAGCATCCAGGTTTACTTTTCCATGTGGATCTCTTTATAGACACCAATTTACTTACCAAGAGCACCGTTCAGTTCGCAGAGGGTGACTTCATCAGGATCTGGTAGCGAGCACTTTGTACTCTCGGTTTTCCCTGGTACCAAGATATCCTTTATTAGTCTGGTGAATGACCAGATTCCATAATGAACCTATACCAGACTGGACATCATTCGCGAAGGTTCCGCCTGGAAAGCACCACAGATAGTCAAAATTCACATCACTTCGTTTATAATTTGTACGCTCTTCTATACTCACCAGGGCTTGCTGCCCTCATTCTGATCGTTATGTGCGTGATACTTTGGCAAAGATGTCCAGAAGCTCGACTTGCTGCTCTCTGACTCACTTTATATCACGTGACTCTCACTCTTTTTGGTTTTCTCGTAATCCATCCTCCTTCCCGCGAGCCCATAAATTCCAATTCCGCGGTGTTCTGTAGTCGACGGAGCCGATATTGTTTAACAGCCTTTAAATGGCCAAAAACCATAAGAAGAGCGCCTCTGGCGCTAAGCCGTCGGGCAATCCGTCCGTTCAGTTTGCCGACGAACCAGTGACCACCGACGCACGTTTTACCCGGGTCTATTCCGATCCTCGCTTCATAAAACCCCGCAAAGATGCCACTAAGGTTACAATTGATAGCCGATTCTCGAAGATGCTCAAGAGTGAGGAATTTGGAACTGGGATTGCGGCCCCGCGGGTTGACAAATACGGTAGGCCAACAAAGAAAACAGCCAGCAAGGATCTCGAGCGGTTCTACAAACTCGACGAAGAGGAGAAGGGGACAATTGATCAGGATAGCGAGAGTCTAAGTACCTCAGAAGTTGATGAATCTATGGAGGAAGAGTACAATGCTGTTGTTGCTGGATATGATCTTGCGCGTGGCGAGGGATTGGTAGAGTCAGATTCAGATGATGATTCATATGAAGACATTGAAGCGGAGGATGGAGTTGAAGACGCTATTGAAGTGGGCCCTTACGCAGAGGAGAATGTTCCAACGGGCGACGAAACCTACAGGTTCGCCGTTGTAAACTTAGATTGGGACCACGTCAAGGCGAAAGACTTATTCAAAGTCTTTGATGCTTTCAAGCCGGCTCAAGGGGCCATAAAGTCCGTAAAAATCTACCCATCTGAGTTTGGCAAGGAAAGGCTGGAACGAGAAGCACGGGAAGGGCCTCCGGCCGACATTTTCGGATCTCCGGCAGGGGACGATGTACTGCAGCCATTGATTCGAGCGGAGGACGGAACTGAGGATTACGACAATATCAAGCTGCGCAAATACCAAATGGAAAGATTGAAGTACTATTATGCAGTGGTTGAATGTGACTCTGTGGAAACGGCACGAACTATTTATAAAACTTGCGATGGCACCGAGTATGAGAAATCTGCGAATTTCTTTGACTTACGGTACATCCCGACTGGAATGGACTTTGACGATAGTCCAAGTGACGAGGCATATGACGTGCCAGCGGCATATCAACCAAAAGATTTCGTCACCCAAGCGCTGCAGCATTCCAATGTCAAACTTACTTGGGATGAAGATGACGACGATCGTGTCCGAATCACGCGAAGGAAATTTACCAAAAACGACCTGCAAGATATGGATTTCAAAGCGTATCTGGCGTCCGCGTCTGAGGACGAGGAATCAGACGACAACGCCCAATCCTTAAGGGCCAAGTATCAGGCTCTGCTGCAAGGGAATACAGATGGCAATCGTGATGCTTTTGGTAATAAGGAAACAGAAGAGGAATTGGAGATTACATTTGCGCCTGGGCTAAGTGAAAAGGCTGCAGCATTATTGGAGAAAAAGAAGGAGAGACAGGTAAGTTATAACCAGACACTAGGTATTTCGCTGATTGAAGCCCATCCTGATACATCGTTGCGCCAGGCGCAGAAGGACGAGACGGTATTTGAACAATACTTGCGTAAGCGAAAAGAGAAGCGGAAGGCCAAGAAAACTGCCCAAAAGGAGATGGATGATGGTAATTTAAGTAATTGATCTGCGTACATATAATAGTTCTGGCACTGACAACAGCACGGCTACCGCTACAGAGCCATTAGTGTCTTCGGGTGACGAAGAAATAGACATGGATGATCCATTCTTCAGTGAGGAGTTTGGTTCTGAATATCAACCGAAAGTGTCGGGTGCGTTCGGCGCTTGGTGTGATGATGCCACTTCCGTTAGCTTACGCTGTAATGTTCCAGACACAAGCGAAAGAAAGCAGACGAAGAAAGCACTCAAAAGCAGAAAACCTAGTGCGGATGACGTGAAATCCAAGGCGGAGCTTGAATTGCTAATGTTGCAAGATGAGGGCGGACCTAACTCTCGACATTTTGACATGAAAGAAGTGATAAAGGAAGAAAAAGGCCAAAAGAAGAAGAAGGGCCGTAAACCGAAGAAGGAACGTCGGGAGGGTGGTGTGCAGGATGGGTTTGAGATTGATATCAAGGATCCCCGATTTGCGAGCGTGCTAGAAAGTCATCATTTTGCCATTGATCCCACTAATCCTCAGTAAGTTTTCTGTTAGCAATTCCGAATGCAGTGCTTAACCCGCCCAATTCTAGATTCAAGAAAACACAAGCCATGGAGAAAGTCTTGCAGGAGCGCCGCAAGCGCCGTGACATGAAGGAGGACGGTCAGACTATACCACAAAATAGAGCCCAGAAAGCGAAAAATGTATCTGAAGAGCAGACACGCCCGGGTTCATCAAATCTGTCGCTATTGGTGGAGTCGGTGAGTTTCCCGCTCGTCGTCATGGCTGAAGTTTTGGTTCTGCTTCATCTAATGTATGGTGATAGGTGAAACGAAAAAGCGCAGCTGCGATAGGTGATCGCAGTCTCAAAGGCAAAAGACAGAAAGTAGCGCCAGTATCAAGTTGATAGTAGAAACTCGGTAGTTTAGAGGGTTTATCTACTTCCTGTTGGATATGTCTCTCTTTTATGTACAGATAGCAAACAGGTTCCCATAGTGCACCAACCAGGCAGGAACGGAAAGCATTTCTGAACGTCCCTGGTCAGATTATAAAACAGTTGGACTTCAGATCACAGATCGTCATCGTCCTCTTCGTCCTCCAGATCACCCCCGTCCCCAAACACATCATCTTCATCAATCTCCTCATGCCTTTGTTCCAAGTCGTCATCCTCGTGCAGATTAGCTTCTTCCCTGGACTCGATATCACGAGTACCACCTCGACCCCGGGCTTCTTCATTCGCCTTCTTTTGGGCCTCCTCCGCTGAATCGAGCATTCTGAGTACACGTCCACGGGTTCGGCCAGCGAATGTATACCGGTTTGAAAGGTAACCCCACATGCGCGGCAGGCCAGATGACCTACTTTGATCTCTCGATCACTGCAAGACGTAGGGTGCCGTTGGATGAAGCATTATGCCACCTATTAGCGATGGTGAAAAAGATACTTACAGCTTAACGCCCACGGTACTCTCATGGCTGCAGTAGATGCATAAAACGTCTATCTAATGTCTGCTTAATCTTCTTTTGGGGTTTGCGGGCCGTCTTTCGCTTACCATGACAATGGCAACCTGCGAGACGATCTCAGAAAGCTTATTACAAGTATTGCACGGATTTTGAAAGCTCGGCACGATCATGTACATTCCAACACATTTCCAATGCATTGCCGAAATTCGGAACTTGGTTGGGCAGCAATATATAGGACGTGTGCAAAAGCGATATCCGTCAGGAATTATTCAATTTGGACTTCTTGGTAGTTTGCTCACACAACGTTCCTCCGTTTTGGACTCGCCATCCTAACGGTTGAGTGGATGATTTTTCCGGCCCCAGATTTTCGCCGTCTTTCGTATGCGCATGCTTTCTTTTCACGAGTGATTGGACGGTTATGGCATCTTTTGAAATAGGCTTCCGTTTTACAAAGTTTTGAAGGCTCATCACATTGAGGCCGGTGCCCGATCGGTCCACTGTTCCCGGCGGTTGTACATCGTTTCGAACAGAGATGTCCATGTGCTGGACCTTTAGTTCCCTATACATCTGATCCAGTTGTTCAGCAGAGTGCGCTGCGCTCTCCAGTGAGCCGAAGTCCAGTACGGACAGTTTGTGTTGAAATTCTATGAACTGTTTCGTATTTGGGCAGCTCGATGGAGTAGCGTAGGAGGCCCCGTGGTCACCCTTAGCCTTTTCCCCGAGATCAATTGCAAAAAGGCCAGAAACTCTACCAGCCCCACATTCTCCAGTTGTTTCTAGCAGTTGTCAAACTCGGATG